TCATGCAATGGGTTTGTGGGTACGTCCGCATATATGAGTCCAGAGAAATTCAATTCAGATGGCCAAGAATATGATGTTTTTCTTGGAGATGTATGGAGTCTTGGTTTAACATTGATGGAGCTGTACATTGGACATTATCCTTACGTTCAACCCGGGCAAAAGGAGGCCGATAATACGGCATTGATGTGGGAAATATGCTTCGAAGAGCCTCCGTGCATGCCTAAGGATGCATCCGAAGATTTTAAGGATTTTATCGAGTGTTGTCTGCGAAAGGATTGGACGGAAAGATGGACAGTCGAGAGGTTGTTATCGCATCCATTCATAATAAGCGCAAGACAGAAGGACGTCGGACTTGGAAGTACTATCGGAACAAAAAAGGACAATTCAGTGCTTAGCGATTCTTTCTCTGTCAGAAGGATAGTTAGAGTTTAGAAATTGTTTTTGACTGTCAAAATTGAGATGTCTGGCAAACTGTCGATACGGATTTTATGTGATTCATGTAATACTTCAAGGTGTAGAATAGAATGTCTCTGGTTTTATTCTTTCTTAATCTCTTTTTCAGTTTTATGGTTTTTCAGAATATTTTCGGCATTACTGTCTTCTGGTTAATGTTATCCTTAGTACTCAACTATAATGTACATGATAAGATTTTGATCTTAAAAATAATTGTCGACTTTAACTTTGATAAAAATCTAGATTGTAAGTTCTAACCAACATGGGCTTATACGTAAAATTTTAAACTTAGGGAGGTAGAAAAGAAGAAAATAATGCTCTACTTTCAAGACATGTATAATTTCCAATCAAACCCAGAAGATATATGCACAGTACAACGAGGTTGAACTTTCCGCTCTTGGGATGGGTGTTGTTTTATCTCTCTATCTCCACACACACACACACACAAGCATTAGATTGGTGACTTATTTTTGTTGTGGGATTCAATATAGTTGTTTTTCACTTACAGCTGCATTTGGAGTCCCTCAATGTAGTTATTTGTGGTGAAAGGGCATTGTCTCCTGATATATAGTTTCGATAAATATGGTTGTTTCAGAATGAAAATGAAGCTGTGTACTAAATCAGGATGCCTCAATGATTTTCATATTTCATTTTGACTGTGTGTGAGGGGTAGAAATTAGGGCATATGCCATAGCTTCATTACTATAGGTGTCATGTGGGACATTTTAGATGCTGATGATCCTCCTTGTTTCATTACTCCTTGCATTTGTAGGAGGGTATTTTTGCCTTAAACAGGTGGTGACAGTCTTGGGCAGTTTGCCATTTTTCATGTTCTGTTCAATTGTGATTGTGAACTAGAGTTGCAGAAGTTATTTCAAGATATATTGTGCCATTGAAAGCATATTTGATGATATTCGTTGTTTATCCTTTATTCTTGATAGCTTACCCGTAGCTTAATCTGTGCCCGATAATTTTTCTTTCTTTTGTGTATTTTACTACGTGTAATATTTTCATTTTATTCTCTGACCTGAACTAGTATTGGTTACTCTCTCCTGTATTTGCAGCTATTTCAACAGTTGTGAGTGTGGCCGAAATTCTGAAGAATAATGGATTTGCAATTGAGAAAAGTAAGGCTCTCAGCTCTCAATATATTATTCTTTACAGTTAACATCACACTATCTGCAAATTCATTGATCTTCCTTTATAACCACGTTATCCTGTTATTCTTCACATATATTGAACGAAGATATTTTATACACTGCAGAGATAATGAAGTCTACTGTTGAGATTAAAGATGAAATGAGAGGACGGATAATCACAAAAGCAAAAGTAAGTTTGTAATCTAATTGTTGGCTTTGATATGCATATTTGTTGGCAAAATACTCACTCATCAATGTTGATGTATCAGAGCGAAACGCCTTCTTCCACACTGATTCATATTTCTATTTTTTTTTTCACAATTTTCTTTTCCCCTTTGGGTGTGTGGAGTGACCGGGTTCATATAACAAATGCGTTACGTATTTTTCCATTGAATATTGCCTCGTTGCTGTTTGTTTATAGCTTGAGATAATGCCGGGGAAGACGGATAAATTTGAGGAATTGATGGCAGCTGCGGCAGAGGCGAGAGCTGGTGATGATGATGGACAGGGTTAAAGATGGGATTTCATTTTTTTTGCCCTCTTATTCACCATTTATTTTGTTTTATTCAAATTTGTAGGTGGTGAAACGCATTTCTATGTATACTTTTTCTGGATCCAACAATTATAATAGCTGAGACTCTTCATGTTAGCCCGTGAAAATGTGAATATGGAATGAATATCTAATTTTCTTGTAACTCTATTTATCGTTCGCCTTCCTTAATTAAATTTGTTCTAATACTGAAGATTTCTAATTAGAAACTGTTCCTCGAAAGTAAGCATGTAACTGTTATAAGAAAACAAACAGAAAAGGATAGCTAATAGAGGAAAATATTTAGCTGAATGCTGAATTCATTTTGTATATTCACGAATTTCAGTAGTACACTCTGTGAAGAATTCTATCACTTATATATCCATACAATGCTATGTAAAATAATGAATTTGTTACAATTTGTTATCAGTAAAATATGCACGGTAGTGTCCAGCAGAATGCAGGTAGAATATGCTGGTAATGCTCAGACTCTTGATTCCCTTTCCTTCTAGATGCTTCTCTCCATGGTGGATGCTGATATCACTTCACCTTCATGACTGTATGGACACTTCATCAGCCAGCTGTTTGGGTCGATCTTTATCATTTAACAACTGTTTCATGATTTCTCTTGAATGAACACTGAATCGAGGTAAATAAATTTACATATAATGACGAATCATATAAACTTTTGGACTCAACGTGTATGCTTGCTATAGATTTTATGAGTTTTAGTGAAAATTGGCATGAGATAGGGACGACTTTCGCTCGTGCGTGTGCACACAGGTATAATAGGAATTATTCTATGTGTACAAAAATCTGTACATGTCGTTTGACTCCGTTGAATTGAATTATGTAGCAGAGCTCCGTATAATATTGCTTTGTTTGTATTTTGGTTCACTTATACCTTGTACGGCCTTCATTTTTTTTTATTTTTTTAAAATTCATTTTCGATCACGCATTTGATGAGACTCACAACATTTATTCATTTTTTAATTGCATATTTCACTAATTTTTATCAAAATTGAAAATTTATAAAAAAATTAATTTTAATCCCAATCAAACAGGGACTTAGGCCCCGTTTGGGAGGGATTAAAATCTAATTAAAATTAAAAATATGGTTATTATTGGGTTCCACTCGTCTAATAAAAGTCAACAATAACGACTATATTTTCAATTTTAATCTGATTTTAATCCCTCCCATACAAGGCCTAATATACAGAAAACGTGAGATAGGAAGAGTTTGCAGACTGCATGTGATTCCTTTTTAAATGTTTGGGTGTCATTAGAATTTAAGGTTTAATATAATTGTTTCTTAATTAATCACTACCGACACATTCTCGTTACTTCTATCTTAGCCAGAACTTTACCAACCAATGGTGATTAGTTTAATTGGATCGGCTTTAATAAAGTTTGAGCTTATTCAAAATAATTTGATCCAATATGGAGACTAATATTACCCACAGAGTAATTTTATTGAATTATAATTCGAATTTGACTTGTCCAAATTAATTTTTTTCTCGAGTCTATTATGCACCATTTAATTCGCCTTCAAATGAATTCAATATTGATGGAGTAATTATCGCTCCAATAAATACGAATTTCAATAAATTATTAATTTCAAAATTTATTTTCACTTTGGTCCCTCAACATTTCAAAAGTATCAAAAAGTGCTTAAATCATAATTTTACCATATGTTGATCCTTCTCATCAATGACTAATCTTGACTTGTCAAGTTCTCGTTTAAAAATATATTTCTCATCATTGCAATTTAGTCCTTAAACTTTGCACATTTTACATTTAGGGCCCATCCTTGCGTTTAAGCTCATAAAATCAACTATTCCAATTAGGAGACATCAATGCAACGTTCTAAAGACTTTCCCATAATTTTCATATTAATTGTTAAGCTTTCTAGAATTCGATAAATTACCCAAAACTCGACTTTTGCAAGTAAGAAATTCTGAATATCAGTTTTGCTAATTTGCACTTAGATACCAAAACTTTCTAAAAATATGCTAATAGATCCAACAACTTCTTAAATTATCA